TTGTATTGTACTTACTCATAATGTATGACCTGATTCATTTATGTCTATATGATGCCATAGTTATTATATTATGCTTTTCTGTACCATAGAATAATATATTCTTTTGCAAGGGGTCTAAAATTGACTATTAGTGAGGTAAAAAATGTGGATATACCTCAAGATGAAGGTCCCTTAACAATTCTGCCAGATAAGAAATTTCTTCTTGCACCCTCTTTTCAAGCCCTTCAAGTACTGAGAGATGAACCAGCAAAAATAAACAGATGCGATCTAAATGGTTTCTGAAATAAGTAACGCGTACATCCTTCGTATCAAACTTTTTCAAATTTGAAGAAATGCGTATGGCATCTTTGATGTATTATGATAAGCATGTGTGATAAATGACACGTACTAAACTTCAGTAAAAGAAAAGGCAACATATGACATGTCTGAACTGTGAAACCTGATTGAAGTTGGTGACAATTGCTTTCCCATCATTACTATATGGTTGCACCATTTGCTTGAAATGATCATGACTAATTCGGACGACTTGGGAAAGCCTCCTACATCTCACTGTGAAAGGTTGGGGGACATTAAACATAACTCCTATTTCTCCTGCCATCCCTCCATATTCTAGTTTCAACAAATGCTGAAATTACTTAAGTTCAGTCAAACGGTGTAAGAATATTTCAGCTCGAAAATAAAGAAGGCAATTTTGAATTTGTTCCAGAGAGTTTTGTTTTATTTCTTGGTTCATATGTTTATATGTTACTTTTCACGAGCATTAGGAGGAGTACGTGTTATGACCATTTTAACTATGGATATCAATGTACCTTCGAGGAAAAAATGTCTGAGATTCCATCTTACCTGTTCAGTTCCATTCATGTAGATTAGCACATCCTGCAATTGGAGACAGTGAGCTATTGCATTTCAGACTACAACAAGACTCAAATGTAAGAGATGAATGTTTCACCACTGCTCCAGATACCAAAATATAGAAATATGATGGCATCTCATTTTGCAAGATAATGTCAACCTTAGGCGGGTAATATTCTGCTTTGATTTCTGACGCCTGAGTGTTTAAGTGCTGCCGCCTATTAGTTGCTGTTGCCGTTTAACATAATTAGACTCTTTCCTATTACCAGCTAGAAGGGAAGAAAATCTTTTACCAGTTGGGTGATAAAATGATCAGAGACTCCTTTATATAAATATGCATTTCCAACTATGTCACGGAAAAGATGCTGAGCGATGCTCGATCTAATTGCCTTTGGCAAGTCCTGTAGCACTTGTTCTTGCTGTAGCGCTGCTGTTCTAAACTTCAACTGAACGTGTGCCAGCATTTGCTCTTTTAAGCCTTCTGGGAGTCTATTTTTGCTTGCATATTTCCGTGTTTGGTTGATGGCATCCCTCTACATAGTAGGTGAAGAATGTTAATTTTGGTATGGCCTCATAAATTCCGAGAACCATGTGATAGTTTGACAGGGGAATATATTGCCCATTTATGCCTAACTTAGAAATTAGAGGCGTGAATATGGGCTACCCGGACTATATGAGTGGTATGTAAAACAAGCTGGGTTGGGTCAGCTCGTTTTTGTGAGTTGGAATTTTTTCAACTTTATCTAGATCATGAGTTGATAGGTTGAGTTAATTCATCAACTCATAAAATTTTTCCCTTATTTAGAAAAATCGATAATTTCTGAAATCTAAACCTAATGATAACTCATGTAATCCATTTTTTATCCATATATCACACAACCCACATCATCTAATTTTAATGTTACATAAATCACATTCAAGAAACCTAAGACAAAGACATGCATATTATCCATGATCCACACATTGCCACGTAACGCATTGTACATTAAGAAATTCACATACACCATAGCAATGACAAAACTCTATCATTCATCAATCATAAAAATATTCGAATCTTCCTTCGAATTTAACATAAAAGCTTGCAATCTGTGCGATAGACTGAGATGCTAGTGTCGTAGACTGTAATGACAAAGTGAAGAACGATATTTAAATTATCATACCATCGCATGAGTTCGGACAGTGCCATGGACGACCAGATTTGTTATGTTTCCGATTATATATGCACTGAGGCCAATGTTAAAGAGCATATATAAGATAGTGAAAATTTTCTCGCCCATATTCACGGCAACAAAATCTCCATAGCCTACAGTGGTAAGAGTAACAATAGACCAATATATGGAACGCGTGTATCTCCGCCAGACGCTCATGTGTTCAAAATCTTGTGTCGGCTTCCCAATCCATGTGTTCCCAGGGTTTGTGTCTAGGGCAGCCAACCAATAATACATGCAGCCTGCGACATGGACTGCAAATAGCGTAACCTGTGGATAAAAACAACGAAAACTGAAGCATTAATGAAACTTGTATAATTAGGCAGTTTGGTGATTATTAGTCTCAAAGATGGTTGAGAAGATACTACGCTTACACATATAAGTTTACAAAATCTTGTGGCCGAGTAGCTAATTCGAATGTCTTTCTCTAGCCTGCAGAAAATCATTGTGGTTTCGATTACGCACGTGAAAATATGTAGCGATATTCACCCTCAGTCCGTCCTGTTTACCCCGTTCAGTTGTGATTGTCTCTGCACTTTCCTGATAAATTTGTTTAGAAATGCTTCCGAAAATTTACCCCCCCTCTAGTCTCTAATGATTCGGCCATCAATTAAGGTTAGCTTATGTGACAATAACTGGTTCTAGTTTTGATGAAATGATTTGCTTAGGAGCAGGGAAGGGGTAGAGAATTGATTTAATATCTGTCAGGGAAATCTTTTCCATCTATGGACACACACCATTCTGTGCTTTGGAAATATTTTTGATGCTATCTTTGTGGGGACAATGGGTCCTGGTCACTAGTCAGTTAGCTTGCAAAGCATCAAACTCAAATTCTTAACTACAGTATTAGGAATCTACCTTGCAAAAAGCTGGCTAACACGCCTTAATCGCCAAAGCCTGAGCATATTCATGAAACCCAAGACCTCTCCGTACGTTTTACCCATCAGAATTTGGTATATCTGCAGAAACGGCAAAGTTGCCGCCACGTCCATGGGAAAATCTAACTTTCTCAAGTACCTGTTCAAGTCAAGACGCCAAAATCTTGTGAGCACCAACAATAGAATCAAGGGTATCTGTCACTGCTTTGTGGTCTGTCATTGGAAGGCTTTATTACAGACTTGCCCTCTGTAAGTCTTCGCACCATACATTCGTTGATTGTCAAAGCATACATTTATATTATACACACCTGAAGGCTATCTTCTTGTGGTCATCAACGAGGAGATAGGTTGATGTGTCCAAATAAGCCACAAAGAAAGTTAGGACTATATCAATGGCAAAGAAGGCATCGGCGAGTAGATCAACGGGCCACAACGACCCAACTGCCACGTCTGTGAAAGCCAGCTCGAATGGAGATGCCCATGCAGAGTATACGACCAAAGCAACAAGGAATGTCTGCCACAGCCTTCATTGAAGAAGGGGAAAAAAACCTTCAGCTCTGCTCTTGTTTAGGAAATTAAGGACACACATAGAACAGATAAGCTTATGTGAAGGAGTTTGATTTACCGATATCTATGATCAAAGGGAGTGATGACATATTTTCTAATGTTTAGGTGACCGTCATCAGCAATGTTGGCGCCAAATGCTGGTAAGAGGTTGCTTGAAAATGAGGCCAAGGCCAAGTTTCTGATTTCATCACTTGAACGACTTCTAACTGGCAATGGTAATGGTGCCTTATTTTGATTCATTGACTCCTAAGTTCTAATCAGAATGCCTTCTGTTCTTGTTTAGGAAAGAAAATATAAATTAGAATTGGCAAGTTTTTGCGAAGGAGTTCAATTAATCTCTATCTACTATCAAAGGGAGCAATGTTGGTGTCAAATTCTGGTAAGAGGCTGCTGGAAACCTAGGCCGAGTTTCTGATTTCATCACTCGAACGTCTTCTAACTAGCAATGGTAATAGTGCCCTGTTTTGCCTTACTGGCTCAATGGCTTCCTTCTATGTTCTAAGCACACGCACGTGCGCAGGGAGAGAAGCTCTTGTTAATTGTTATCAACGTTCTATGCAAAATAAGTGTTTGGCCAGTTATTGTTAAAAGGGGAAAATGTGAAAAAAAGGAGGGAAAACATGATAGGGGCAGTGGTAGGGAGTTTCATGAAAGAGTATGAGTTATACGTAGTTTATATCGTTAAGTGGACAAAAAGACAACCTCATTACGAACTTTCTTGTCTCCCCAAAAGTATTTTCCTTCTCAGTATGACAAAAACTAGAAGAAGCGAACTCTTGGACTCCTCGCTCCTGTTTACTTTATTCTATCTCCGGATGGTTTACGATGGCATCAAGGTTGAGTCATAAATTTATCTTATTTTTAATTATTCGAATACTTTGCGTCATTTATTACAAATTTTGTAAAATCGGTGCATTCAACACCCCCTTACTCTTTTCCGGCTCGCGAGTGAAGAAAATAAAGACTTGACTAAAAAAATTTATATTGATTTAGAAAATCAGTTAGAATTAATTTAATACTTCTAAAATTTCAAAATTTTTCTCAATAGAGTTTATTAATTAGAGTAATTTGTTTTGTTGATTAAGTTGTTTAGTTAATCAGAAAAAAATCAAAATAAAGGAAATTGAGGAGAGAAAAAAATTAACTCTTTGGACGAGGAGTATTGTATTGACAATAGATATCCTTGTTATAAGGATAGAAGGAAGTGAACTTCAATTCAAAGTGAGGAGTCGCTCTGCAAAAATGCAGACATCGCACTCTCCCTAACATCCTTGTTAATGTCTTGTTAAACAACTTTTCCATTCTATCATAAATACAACAATATTATCAACAAAAAACACTAGGTAAGGTCAATTGCATAAATTATAAAATGTCATTGTACTCTATCATTTATTAAACTTTTCATTCTATCATAAAAACATTCAAAAAATAAAAAGACGATGACTTTGAAAGTTGACTCCACCCCTCATTTCAACAATCAACATACAATCAACGCTTCTGCCAAATCCATGTATTTTAATTAAATTGCTTTTCGACTCAAGCTATTACTTAGCCACAGAATGCAATCATTTTATGATTCTGATGCCATATGAATTTAATTTCGATCTGTCTGCTTGCTTTTCACTGAAGCAGCGTTGAACACACAGGCACACACGACAGCAAGGGAGTTGTGACACCAATCCCTGAAAATCTACCTGAATATCCTAACAATAACGACGACGACAATAAACCTTATTCCTCTAAGTGGGATTGGTCTTATGAATTGCAAGATGTCATTCTATGCTATCCTAATAAACTGATTTAAATTAAATCCTAAAATAAACATTGTGTGTTAAAATCACGTGACTAATAGCAGCAAATTTACATATGGTGCCTCATAAATTCCAAGTACCATCGTCTTTGACAATCAGGTGGTCCCAGTCTCAGAATCTCCATCAAATTATTACTTTGGCTGAACCTTGTGATAGTGTAATCGCTGCTAGGCTCTCCAACTCGGTTATGGACTGATAGCAGGCAGCGACATCCGTCTTTAGGATCTAGCTTGAAGTCTGTATACCTCAACCAGATATACAATGCTTTTTCGTTTTGTGGGGGGGGGGGGGGAGACAACCGTGATTTTGCAGCCGTATTAGGTACGCTTTGCTTTCCTCATGAGAAGCTATTATTCAACTTATAACCTTCAAACATCAAGCGCATAACCAGAAGATGCGCAGAGGCAGGCCCACAGTACATGTGAATTCCCCCAGCCATATATTACATATACTGAGCTAACCATTGCTTACACATATCAAGCACCGGGAGTGCACTTGCATGAAGTGCCTGCAAGAACATTGACACGAAGTTAAGATAAATTGATCCCTTGTCAGTTGACTAAATTGCCTATGGGCAAAGATAACGTTAGGCAAGTGCAACCATCTTTGCTGGCGTTAAACTCCTGCAAGCTTGGGTTGGTTATAAGCAAGAAAAAAAACCAGGTAATATAAGCATTAACTCCCCACCTTATCCTATAGAGAATTGTGAATGGTGGGAACAACATTCACTTTGAGAACTAAGCGTGTGTTTGGATGTTTGTTTTGGACATCCAAAACCAACATTTCCCATACGTCCGTTCTCTTGGGAGAAAACAGACACCCAAATGTATTCTATCTTTAAGGTGCATGCCATCCTTATGTCTGGGAAAAAATGTAATCATCAAATGACAAACCCCAATTTGGCCGAGTGAATGACAAACAATAATACGTAATCGCACCAAACTACATACATACATACATATATATATATATAAGCGAAACATGATGCATGCTCAAATAGGAAGTGCGTTAAAGGTTCTATTGTAATAGACGGGTTCAAGGACCTTCGATCATATGCAAGGCTTAAACTCAAACATGCAGTTGGTTAATATTTGGAAAGTTATGATGACAAGCTCTTTGATCCTATGCACAGTGTAAACTCAAGAACACGTAGTTGGTCAATATTTGGTGAGTTATGATAACAAGATTTAGAAAGTGGAGCCTAAGATTTAGATGAGGTTAACCTGATGAGCAACATATTGAACATCAGCCACACTTCCACTCCGAGAAGCAATTTGAAATGCACTTTTTAGACGACCACAGACCACACAAGCAAGAACCTTCCTGTACGGGCATGAGAATAAGTTAATCATGTTAACTTGGCTGGTGCAATACTTAATGCAGAAAAATGAAAAAGACACGTGATGTTGTGTATTATGTATAACAATAGACAGTGTAGAACGGCCTTTTAAGACTGATGAAAGCGAGACACACACACACACACACAATAATAAACAACATCCTAAACCCTATTTTGTACAAGTATAATATACTTCTGAGTGCGAATGATATTAAATCAAAATGCAAATTTTTCCATAAAAAAATTCCCAAATAATAGAATAATCCTAAGTGCACAAAGGAAACAAAAGAAATATATAAACCTCACCTGTGGCTGCTAGTTAACATGTCTATTAGACGGTCTGGACGTTCTTTGTGCTTGTTAGCATATACATTTATTGCAGCACCCAAGACCTATGCCATTCAAAACATTCACATGTTACTAAAAATTATTAACATAGGCATCCTTGCTATCAACAGAGATATTTCTTTTCTCTACGGATAGGACCAAGCTTCATTTGATAGACAGGGAACATCTTAATTTCAGTGTACTTTTGCAACTCAAATATATATATATATATATATGCTGCATCCTTATTTCAATGGGAAGAGTTCTCTCTCAATGTATGGTTGGGTGGTGTGGTACCCTGTTTGTCCATAAGATGCATCTTGATTCCCACGACACTAGAGGGACATAGCTATCAAGTACATAGTACCATGTTTAAGCACAGCACTTTAAATTAGACACTCATTCAACGGTATAGCACTTTTTAAGATTATTCACCAAGCTTCCAAGTTTTTCCCCCCCTAAATCTGTTAAAGAAGCATAAAAGTCTTCAGCATTAAGCTCTGGCACTTGAGATATTGTATGGAAAACGTTTATAGTTTCCAAACATCTAAGTTCTCCAAGTGGCAGAATATTCTGGACCAATTAAAGAGTTCTATCAAGACGGCAAATGATCCCTTTCTGTTCAGTTACTAGAAGTGTAAAAGAAAGTTCAATCAATTACCTGGTCCCAATCATCGTCATCTATTGTGCCCTTAATGTTTTTGAAGAATTCTGTCAACTGGCTGCCTCTTTTCTTTCAGCAAGAGATGCAGCAACACTAGCATATATGTCAACAGCTGCATGACATAACAAAAACGTCAGGCTGACTGTGTCAACAACATAACCTCTCCGGTCAAAATCAGTAGTGCGAAACTGAAGATAGAAAGACAGATTGAGAAGGGAGTTATCAGGCTACAGGAAGATTGAATTCATAGATCACTTGGAACGCCAAATCAAAATTCTTTTCCACAAGAATCTCTGCAATCTTACACCTTCGCCTAAAATTCAAAATATCATGAGCGTGTTTGAGGTAATATCATTATAAAAAGCATAAACTGCTGAAATGGCGCCTACTACAAATATCTGCATGCATGATATACGATTGATAAATAAATGGTAGTGGCATACATGAGTAGTCTCAGCGGTTGTTAGAGCCTTAAAAAATTCAAAGAACACTCTAAAGACTAAGTTTCTTAAAGCACACATGTCAAAGTATTTTTTAATACATCACAGCAGACAAACTGATGGTTAATATATACAAGAATGTACGCTTTAAGATTAATAAGAGAAACAAAGTGACAAACCTGAAAGTTTCTAAGTCATTTGGATCCCAAAAAGGGAATTTTTCCACTGTGGGCCTTCTGGATCGTTGAAGGATTTAACAACTTCAACCTGCAAAAATTATCAGCAGACGTGAAGCATGGGAATGAAACACAAGATTACATGTCTTTACATATCAGAATATGGGATGCACATTTGAAATGATTTGCTGGAAGAATAGTTCTTAAAAATAACAACAAAAACACGCAGACACACTCAGAAAACTTATTTGACTGAAATGGAAACTACCTCGAGGATCACTTCTCATTATTTAAGTGTCTGGCCGGAATTCGAATGTCACAACACTGATTCTAATATATGTCATTGTTTCTACTTTTTTGTTTTTGTGAAATAAAAGAATCACACCCACATTAGACTCGGCAAAAATCTGAGAAGACTTATCCAATTATCCAGAGAAAGAAACGCCCATCCCATGGGAGATTGTATGGCACGTTCAAGGGCACACTGATATGCCACGTCTAATTCAAAACTGCCAACATTAACATGACTGCGTCTAAGCATTCATATTGGCATGCTCTTTCAAAAGCAAACTAACATGCATTTCAGCAAAATGTTCAACATTGTCTCCCCAGTCTTGATCTCAACATTAGTTACTTTCTGGCCTCAACATTAGTTAATGAAAAACCATGTTTAGCGTACTAGGCATCTCCAATTACCTGGATTGATACCCGTGCAGAAAATTTGACAAGACCTTCCTCAGAGAGCTTCTCTGAGGCACTTTTCCCTCTTAGACCTTTTGTTACAAGCCTGGTAGAGTCACCACCTTTGTGTCTAGCAGACAACCCTTCATCAAAATGCATCTGCATCATTTTTTTTTTTTTGTTGGGGGGGTGTGGAAGAGGAGCAAACAATTAACAAAGAACAGGATAAGTGAATTAAAGGCATGAAATTATGATAGTTTGAGGCAACAATATATGTCAGTCTTGTTAATTAAGAAAAACAAATGTGTCTTCCATCCATTTGTTCTTCTTTTCCATTTTTTAATATGTACAATGCTCTGAAGCTAAAAGAATGGGTGTTGAAAAGACTTGGTTCTGCGTGGCGCGCGCGCACGTGTATTTTTGACAGCATAAGAATTCTTTGATGGAGAAGAATGCATAACTAGATGAAGGATAAAATATCCTCTGACCAGAAAATACCGGCTCAAAACAAACATAATATAGAAAACCTATAGTGGCAAAAGTGCTCTCTGATCTATGTATACATCAGATGAAGTGATTCCCTTATTGATGTGCTAAGCACCCAGGGAAGCCACATAAAGTGTCGAGGCTGTCAAGATCAAGATCCTATACAGGATCAACCAAATGGTTAAAAAATAGAATTCATCAGGGTGTTTAATTGTTTCTTATCATTGGTTAACTAGCTTTTAATTCTGATTAGTTTCAATTATACATATCTATACCCCTCTGGTCCACAATATAGGGCATGGTAACTACAAAACCTTAATTTTCTAAAACATTGTATATCCTTCTTTATTACCCTTGCATGGAATAATTATAATATTTGACTTATTTAAGACACCCTCATTAATTGTCCTATATAAGTATCTCAATAATGAATTGAAAATCCATTGGACCATTCTTTTAAAAGGACTAGTAAATGAAGTAAGGGTGT